CAAGACCAATTTTACACAAAAAAAAGTTAACACTCAGCTTATTCTTGCATTTTTTCCATACTATTTTATGCAGATGGCTCATTTACCTTCGCTGACATATTTTACTAGAGTATAAATATAAATACTTACAGACACAGTCATCATCAGCGCATAGCTTCTTGCTTGCAAGTTTGTCCATAAAAGTCCCAGTCACAACAGGATACATCAACCCGAGGCATAAAAACAGTATGACTACATAAACAGTGGGTGCCATTTTCTTGCAAAGCTCTTTCTGAGACTTCTCTCACAAATGTGTGTCAGGTCCAGTAATCCTTATCTTTTATGGAAAAAGCTAACCATCTGGAAAAACATCCCTGACCAATGGGAATAGATTAGGGCAACATTCCACTGCTTTAAGAGAAACCATGGGCTCCAGGGGATCCTCAGGTTGTATTTACCTTTCTTTCCAAAGCCCCTTTATAGCACTGCTTCAATAAACTGCTCTATTACCCAGACATTCTACGTTTTCCTGTAATCTTCCATTAAGTGTAATATTCTGAACATGACTGCAGGCAAAATTATCTGAGAATGAAAAACAGACCTGTCCCACTATGCAGCAAATGAAGTCACATTCTTTTGAAATCTGGATTCTCATGAAATGCAGAAAGCATAACAAACCATCCTAGATTATGAGTTCTCTGGGGCAGACGCTGCTCCAGTGTTGTTTATAAAGGACACTAACATCCTAAGGTGCTGCTGCAAATGTACATAGACCAAGCAGGAGTCCCGCATAGCTGAGCCCCAGCGAAATGCTTTGCAAGTCAACAAATTAAATTGTGACGTTTACAGTTCAGGCACTGCACACTTGGTAGCACAACCTGGGTTTTAATGCCTTGTTAGAGTGCAAATATATTATTCACGTTATGCCCAGATTCTTTCCACGTAAGTCTAGTTTATGCAGCCTGACTCAGGCTGAAGAGATTTTGAACACAAGGCTCTGAACAGCCTCGCAAGCTGACTTGTAAACACCCCTTTATCCTCAGAAGATGACATTTTAAGTCATCACCCAGCCACCACATGGGAAGAAAAGGTAGGGGATAGTTAGGGAAAAGGGGGTGAGGGATGAAATACCTGATGTCATAGCACCGACTCCTGCGAGCAAACAGTTCAAGTTACGGAAAGCTAGCCCAGTTCAGTACTTGTATGCGACCATGTGACCTAGGTGCATCAGATAGCAGTGTGACAAGTTACCAAGTGGCACTCTTGAAAGCAATGGCCCAGGGAGCTTCTAGTGCTGATAGATAAGCCATCTTTCAGATAAGGAGTAGACTGTCTTCTATTATAAATGTTATAGCCATTTTTGTAAATGCAACAGGAATGCCAACCCAGTGTCCTCATTACATTACAATTAGGTTAATTACATCCTTTCTAGTTGGTCCAGCCTATTGACACTCACTTTGCCTTACAAGCTAACTTTGTATCTGGTTGCTATTTGGAACAACCTCCAGAAAGATAACTCCTTTCTAAATCAAGTATGCACAATGAAGTCGTCCAAAATTCCAGAGCACATGGAAGGTTCCAATGCATACTAGGGGTGCACAAATAGAGATTTTGGGGGCTGATACCGGTAGCTGATTTTTAAGGAAGCATATTGGCCGATACTGATCCGATTTCCAGTACAGCTGCACACAACTCGTAAGTCTGTTGTGCTGGACGGGGAGGGGGGAAGGAAGGGGCATGGGGCGGGGCAGATCAATGCCCCCCGCTGTAAGGGACAGGCACTGCCTAGCCGGGGTGGGGCGAGCGCAGGATGGAGCCACGGCTTGTTGTGGGGTGAGGGGCAGCTACTTCTGCTGCATGCACCCTAGAAGGGCGTGTACCCCTGGATCTATGCAGGGTGGGCAGGCAGGCTGCAGCTGTGGCTTGGTGCTGGGGCTGCACCAGGCTCTTGTTGGTAGTGGCTGGGCTCAGGAAGAGGGCTGTAGCCACCCCAAATTTTGCTGTAGGCCCCCTGTACCCCACTGAGCCACCACTGTACCCCGACAAGGTGCAGCTCTGTCCCATACCCTGTCCAACCCTGGCTGGGCAGCACCTGCCCCTGCCCCTTTCCCCCCTCCCCGCAGGGGGTTTTGGTCTGCCCCCACCACTGCGCACACACACACACACCCCTTCCCTTCCTCTTCTTCCACCACAACAGATTTAACAGCTGCACACAGCTCTCCATTCTGCTGGGCTGGACTCCTAGCTGCCTGTAAACATGCAAGGGCATTTATCAGCTGCATGGGGCCGATTTCCAATACAGCCAATTTTTTTTATATTGGTACCAATCTGATATCAGACTGATGTACTGGTGCACCTCTAATCCATAAATGAAGGTGATGGAGTCCAATGTCAGAACTGCAGAACCTACAATGTCCTCTCCTTTAAAATACAAAACAAGAGGCATGAAGGCACTCAAGTGTTAACAGCAAGCAAACATAGTCCATAAGTAACCCTTGGCATCAGTGATCCCTCACAGTCAAGGATGATCACTCCCACAAAAGTCAAGTAAAGGGTTGTAGATGAGTCCATTGATGGCTAAGAAGACTGATCCTAGAGCTGCAGACTCTTTGGCAAACACCACAGGTGATGGTTAAAGGAAGGGGTTGGACCATGGATTTCTCAGTCTTGTTTTCTTTCCTTCAGTTTGTCATTTTTCTGCCTCCATGGCAATAGTTTTTCCTCAAAGTAAGATGTAACTTCTCACAAGGTATCATCATGTAGCCTTGTCCCAGACCAGTTTTTCCTCAATTTCTGATGTCAATGCCACACTTAATGGTTGCCTTGAGGGTGTCCTTGAAGAGTTTCCTCTAGCCCCTGCAAGTCCTTTGTCCTTGGCCGAGTTGGGAGTATAGCAGCTGGTTTTGGTAAACGTGCATCAGGCATGCACACGCAGTGCCCTGTCCACTGCAGCTGATGTTGAATAATCAGTGCTTCCATAATGGCGATGTTAGTGTCAGTGAGGACACTGGAATTTGTGCAATGATATACCCACTTTATGGCACGGATCTTCTGGAGGTAGCACTGGTAACGGCGTTCCAGGCTTTTCAGGTGGTCCCAGTAGGTCACCCAAGCTTCACAGCCATAGAGAAGCCACAGCGTTATACAGTAGGAGCTTTGTGCAAGTCAAGATGTTGTGATCGTTGAACACATAATTCAGCTTTCCAAAGGCAGAACTGGTACATCAGGTCCCATACTGGATGTCCTTGATGTTGGCCTTCTTTGACAGATGGCTGCCAAGGTATGGAAAGTATTCCAAATTCTCCAGCTCCTGGCTGTCAACAAGGATCTTTGCCAGGGAGAAGAGGAAGAGTTGACTGGCCTGGAGCAGGCTAGTGAAGCACCTTTGTTTTTCTGATGTTAGGGGCCAGTCCCAAGCACTGGTATGCTTGAGAGAAACAATTAAGTACTGCTTGTAGGTCCTCCCCCTTATGTGCAGTGACAGCACAATCATCAGCATACCAAAGCTCCACAAAAATAACTTTGGTTTTGGCATGAAAGCAAGAGCGACTGAAGAGGTCCCCATCCATCCTGTACTCGATGCCAATGCCATCTGGCAGTTGGTCATGGATGAGCATCTTGTTGACTGCAAGAAAAATAGAAAACAAAATTGGTGTGATCACACAGCCTTGCCTGATGCCAGTTCAAATAGCAAAGGCCTCTGTAGCAGAGCCTCTGCGTAGGATGGAGGGAATGATCTGGTCATGAACGAGTCTTAGAATGGTGATTAATTTCCCCGGGCAGCCAAACTTTGATAAGATCTTTCATAGAGCCTCATTGTTAAGAGTCAAAAGCTCTGGTCAAATCAATAAAGACCATATACAGTTCCTGGTGTTGTTCTTGGCATTTTTTTTTCCAGCCTGGCAGATCCAGGAAAACAACAAAAAAAACAGGTCCATGAAGCCTCAATGGTCTAAAGCTGCATTGAGACTCTGTAAGGATTTCCTCGGCAGGAGGAAGCAATCGGTTCAGCAGAATGAGTGAGGATCTTTCCAGCGATGGAAAGGAGGGCAATACTTCAAAAGTTTCCACAGGCAGACTTATCTCCCTTTTTAAAAATTGCGACAATATTGGCATTGCTTAGGTCAGCAGGAATTTCCTCCATGTTCCACATTTTGAGAAAGTGTGGAGCTTGTTGGTCCACACACTGTTGTGGTCATAGTTTCCCCACCAACTTTGAAGACCTTCACTGGTATGCCATCAGGGCCAGATGCTTTGTTGTTCTTCAGCTGTCTCGTCATCACCTGGTGGACTTCTTCAGAGGTTGATAGACTGGCAAATGCTTCACTTACTGGATGCTGTGGGATCGATTTGATGGCTTCATCAATCACTGTCAATTCTTGGTTTATGAGCTTTTGGTAGTGCTCCTTCTGGCAGTTTTTGATGGACCCATCTTTGAGGACTGTACTGCCCTCTTCTGTTTTAAGCAGGGTGAGTACACAAAAGTTTTGTCCATGCACAGCCTTGATTACACTGAAGAAGTTCCACATGTCATGATTGTTAGATTGTTGAATTTCTTTTACCTTCTATTCCATTTTTTTTTTTTTGGAGTCCATCAAGGTCAGCATAAAACTGTTGTCTCTGTTCTTCCTCAGCATCAAGTGTTGGGGCAGTCGCACTGACGACACAGCAAACAAATTGTTGGTCAGTTGGGGGCAGAGTCAAGAGACACTTGTTAATGCCAACAGGAGATTCGGTCATTTGGCTAATAATTTGGTTCTTAATGGCAAAAGCAATGCTATGTATTCCCACTGTTTGCCAGTTTTCCTCTCCAAAAGAACGAATAGCCACTCTTCTCCCCCACATGGCTTTCGTCTACATGTTTGGTCTTGCTGAAAGCAACAATATCAATGTCATCACCCGAGAACTCTTGCAATACAATGGCTGTTCTATGTCCAGGTCTATCACTGCTTGGGTCATCATCTAGGCGGGTACGTACATTCCAAGACACAAAAGACATTTGCATTTCTATTGCAATTTGAGCAAGTCACCTGGAAGCAGCTATCCAATCAGGTAAGATGAAGTGGTGCAGCCTATGTTTGGGACACTGTTTGTAGTCCCCTCCCTGTGCGGGGTGAGCAGAGGGGATCCTAAGAAGGACTGCTCACATCACAATCATAGCTGTTAAATCACCCTCCTGTCCCATTCCAAGGATGAAGTGACCAACAGGTAACCACTGCCTGCATGTGGATCTGTGACCAGGGACTCTAGGCAATCACTTCATCTGTCCCTGTTCCCACTCCTCCATTGCCTCAGGACTTGGTAGAGGTTATGGGTATTGACAATTGGTTATTGTTGGATCCAGTGGGAGAAGCTTGTGCGTGACTTGTTTTATGTGAGGAGGCTGTTATGCATCAGCAACCACATGGATCTTCACAGAGAAACCTGTATCCGGTGGCAAGGACAACTTGTATCCCTCTCCATGGACTACCACCTTGATGAGGTGAAGAAGTACTGATGACCCCAAAAGCAACATGGCTGGGAGGCTTGTAGTCCTGGTAGGGCCACCCATGGTGGTAAGCTCAAAGGTGAGGTATCGTA